AGAATTCACGTAATGCACTTTGGACACTATCGTATGCACTTTTTTCTACTAATCAGATGGCGTCAATCTCATATAAATGGGCGAGGGGAAAAAAACTCTTTGACCCTTAATCAGAAGCAGAGCAGAGATACATTTCAATCCATCATACACAAATCGAAAACACTAGTTTGTATCATACTTCATAGTTTGCGTGCTGTTGCATGCCTATTAAAGTCATAGATAAAGAAAATGGAATCGAAATATTTTTTGTTTGAATATTGGAGTTATGCCCGTAGGTGGTTGGCGGGTGCTCTGGTGTGGTTTGCTCCTGTTTCAAATCAAATATATATTGTCCTTATCCCCCCTCCTTCTTTTTTGTGTATGTTACTTTTTTGTAACACATTTATTCTTCGACACTTATATGATCTTATTCTGTTGCAAATGCCGTAAAATGCTTACTAAAACTAAGGAGTTATGCCCCTATACAGTGATTCCTCAAGTATTGTCGAATGAGCAGAATTCACGTCCTTAGATAGTTAATAAATCATTTTACGCTTTATAACTGTAAGGGGTTAAAGATGTCTTGCTCGCCTATTTTTAGAAATTATGTCAAAGTCATGGATATGGGGGGTTGGCGGGTGCTCTGGTGTGGTTTGCTTCTTCTTTCCCATCAAACATATTCTACCGTCCATATCCCCCCTTCTTCTTTGTTATGTTTGTTACTCTCTTGTAACACCTCTAGAGTCTAATCTTCTGGCGCTCATATGACCTTATGCAGTTGCGAGCACCGTAAAACCTCTACTAAAACTGACTAAAAGCAATGGATATTCTGGAGTCAGGGAGGTTACTGAATACCAACTGTTTATTTATCCGTCTTTATGTATAATATCATTCTGTCACTCCGAGCGTTTTACAGTCATATTGGAATCATGTATGTTTCGGCGAGCAAGAGATACAAAATAATGATTGTATATTTTTCTCATCCCCCCACAAGATGAAGATGATGATGAGGATGATGATGATGATGAGGATGATGATGAGGATGATGATGATAAGGAATCGATACACAATAAGACGACATCTAATAATTTGGCACACGTACGTATGTGCGATTCTTTATTGCCAAAGACCGAAAGCACGTCGTTTGAGACTAACAGATCCTTCTGTAAAGCTTTCGTTGAAAGCGCAAGAGCAAATATTATATCTGATGATAATAGTTGTAATAATATTTTACTTTTTTAAAGTTATAAAGCATTTTACTCGGCTTCTGAAATAAAGCGAGCAGATTAAGCACATGCATA